GTCGCTACTCGCTGCGTCAGTGCGTCCTGCCGTGACGATGCTTGAAGTGTTGCACTACATTTGTGAGAACATAAACGCAGTAAGGCTGCATTCCGTTATTTATTACAAATACCTGAAAATCTATATTTATAATTCACATTATTTATATACCATAGTTTTTCAGTATTTGCAGTGAATAACGGAACATAACCTAAGAGAGAAACTAAAAAGCTGTGAATTGTGAAACGATTGTGTATAACTTCTTTGTGGGTGAACAAAAGAGTTTTCCAAGTGTTTTGTGACTCATTTTATGATGAACGAAGTAGAACAATTTTTGGAAAAGATCGAGTTGAAACTATATTGGCCCACGTTTAAGCGTAAGTATATACTTATTATACCGTATTGCTTATTACCAATGATTCATGGAGTATGTCGTTTAAGCCACACTTATAGCAATAACAGCATAAAATATAATATGTGTTGTAGGGGACATCAAATGTCCATTTGACAAAACATTTGTTTGATAATGCTGCTATGAAAATTGTAAAGGTTAGCTATAATGCTCTGAAGTTATTGGAGAGTGTTTTGAGTTTATTCTATTCTCTTTAAGTCTGAATCAGTAGAAAAGTCACTGATTGAATCAGAAACTATAACCTAATTTAATGCCTTGCATGGCTAATAAATAAGCAAAACAGCCGAATTCACTGTGCAATTAATGAAAACAGCGAGTCCACTGATTTGTCAATTATAGAAATTATTCACTTATTTATTAGTGATTTCCGAGAATCAAGAAGTTGAATTTTACTGATTACCGCTGACATATTGATGCATTCAATAAATAACCATTGGTAATAAGTAATTATCCACTGATTCAGATTAAAACTGTACCGCATTAATTATTTTGAGTTGTTTCGTTTTCTGAAAATTTGCTTTTATATGTGTTTTATATTATGTTTTTACAAAAACTAATTTACTGCCTGTCGCAATAATAATTTTCTTTCGCATATTCTTTTTAATTCTCCGTTTGCAATCAAAGTCACAAGTAAAATTTCACTTTCAAATTTCTTTTAAATAAAGGGAAGACACGGATTTCAGTTTTGTCTTTCAAAAAATCTTGTTATATAACAAGGTCTTATTTATCAATTAACGATGACAATTTGCTTTCGGTCAATGATCATAGACCAGCACAAAAATATGATTGCAGACAGAGGATTAATGATATTGAATAAGAGGTATTGTGTGTATGCTATTTTTATTGTAAAAGACTGGGTTTTATAACACTAAATTTATAATTTTGAATTAATTAAATTTAGATATGTTTTCTGTAAACTATATCTTCTCACTTATTTTTTATATTTTCAATAGATTTTGTCTTTTATACTTATATTAACATTTATCTTGTTTTTACTTGCTCTTATATGTAAAATTGAAATTATGGCAAATATATACTAATGTCTTTTTTTTAACAAATTTTATACTCATATGTTTCTATTGCACTTTCTTTTTTATTGTCACATTTCAAATAGAGTAAATTTTTTAAAGATTGACATTATAACTGATAGTTGATTTATATATGATCAAAATTTTCTGTTTTTTAATATGCTTTTTTTTTCAATAGAGAACGCAATAACTACACTTGATAGGTTATTTCTTATTACTCCTGACTTTGCTAAAGAGTTGATCCAACCCATTGGTGACCGGATTGTGCTTTTAAAAAACATAAGTGCACAGAATAAAATAATAGAGTGTACCGAACTTGGTACCGAACAATTTAAATTAGCAGAGGTATGTTTGAATTATATAAACTCTTAATAATTTTAATGATTTTATTTTACTGGTATTACAAGAGAAAGCATTATTTTTGTTTTTTATTATCTTATTTGTTAGGTGAATATTAATCCATTAACTACTTCATTGTTAAATGAAAATAATAATATGGACATTAGTGATGCAGGCCCAAGTTCTTCAATAAATACTACAGTTAGTATATTAAGCTTTATATTAAATTATATTATTATATAGTGTATTGTTCATTATGCAGCACATATATTTTCATATTGCCTAAAACAAAAGTTAAAACATTGTATTTTTTACTGTCATAGGAAAAAACTAATACAACATTATATATTGAGTTACCTTCTGATTTCACTTTGAATACTCAAAATGACTCTAATGTAGAAATACGAGAGGATAATACATATAATTGCAAGAGATCACAAGATATAGAAAAAGAAGATCGCCCACCCAAAAGACTTTGTCAATGGTTTTCAAAGAAACAATATGAGAATGTGGTATGTACATTTACTACAACTTCTCTAATTAATTGTCAGGGAAACTTTTTGTCAGGTAATTATTAATTTTTTAAATTACAATAATATAAAGTTTAATATACTAACAATTTACTGACACTTAATATACTTACAATTTAATAATATGAAGTCTAATATATTTAGTATTCATTGAAGAGCTTGGACCTGTATTATTAATGTCCATTTTAATATTAGAATGATGGTGGATATTTTTTATCCATTGATAATTTTTTCCCATTTATTTAAATCTTATCTGATGGGAAAGAGGGGAATTTGCTAACTTTTTATTAACGCCTATGTATATTGATGAAAAGTTGAGAAAATCTAGTCTTTTAAATAAGTATCTAGAATGAGAAGAGAGAACAGAGAGAATTTGCAAATGGATTAAAGATGATTCATTGGCCGTTCTAGTATTAATTGTTTTGACAGTTTTAAGTTTTTTAAGAATTTTTTTACGTTTTGAAGTCATCTAAATAAATGTTTTAAAGATTTGTCCTACTTTTGGTAAATAAACTTTCTTATTAAGATATTCTGTTGTTCTTAAGAGTAGATATAAATATTTATTTTTATTACACTATGTGTTAATAAATTCTGTTTAAATTGATTAAATAGTGGATTAATAAATTTTTATTTCATGTAGAATTTGGAACAGATTTTACAAGATCATATAAAGGGTGATGCAATATTATTTTATTCTAAACAGAATGGCTTCTTAAATGCAGAGGCAAGAGGAATTCTCTTAGATATTGTAGCAAATTATATGCTTAAAATAAACAAAAAGTAAAAGTTTTTTGTAAATCTTTTAAATATTTTTAATATTCTTAGTATACAACTGTATGTGTGATTAAGATAATTATCTTATCTAGGCCCTCATCTTACGAAATTGGTTTAATTAGCAAAAAAATCTGTGAGCTGTTTCCCTCTGAGACTGAAGTAAGACAGTTTTTTAAATTTTCTTTAGAATAAATCAAATTTCTATTCTATCAATAATAGCTTGTACAATAATATGTATCACCTTAAATTGCCTTTGTTTTTTATATACGCTTACTTTATATTCTGTAGGATACTTATTACTATCTGCCATATACAAATGGCCCAAATCAAAAAAATTCTGCTGGAAAACTCATAGATAAGATCCGAAATACCAAATCGTTACTGAAAAAATTGTGTTGCATATCCCTTCAGGCAAAGCGATACCGATTCTAAAGAAACTGAAGGTCAATCTTCCGTCGAAGGTAATAAAAAAAAGGATTTTAGTTAATTTACTTGCTTGTCTATTATTTCTGTTTGTTAACTTTCCTCTCTCTCTCTCTCTCTCTCTCTGTATGTGTATGTGTTGTGCATGCATGTTTACAAAAAATCTGAATGTTTTATTGCATATTTTTTTGTAGAAAATGATGAAACTGTTGAAATAGCAGTCCGATGGTTAAAGATCAGTCGTGAACCTTGGCCAGATATTTTGAAAAATTGGGAGATTACATATGATTTCAGGCAAAGAATGCTTGTAGATGAAAAAACTGATAAAGGTGATCCTTTGCCAGTAAGTGATTATTATGAAGAATGGGAAATTTTATCACTTCCTCAGGGCTATACTTTAGTACGTGCATTTTTTATTTTTTATGTCTTTTATTAATGTAGATACCTATTTTTTATATTAATTTTTTTATATTCAATTTATATTTACTTTAATTAGCTCTTAACTCTTCATACTCTGTCATACTCTCTTGTCCTTATATGTATAGTTTGCTACATTTTACTCTGTGAGACTGTGCGCTCGATTTTTCTTATTATTTTTGTGTTAATTAATATTTTTAATTTGTAATATAAGAATTGAAGTATTAAAAACATAGAATCTAAAGAAGATGGTCATGATAATAGTAAAGAAAATATATTTTAATTGAAACTATTACAAAATGCGGAAAATACAAAAACTAGAAGAATGAGACGTTTTAAAGGTCCGCCAGATCGGAATGTGGTGAGCTAGATTTAAAAATTATTTTTCTCACTTTAGTGGTGTAAATGACTGTTAAAAATATTATGGAAAATGGTCTATCATAGTCAGTTTATAATATAATAATTTTATTTTAAAACAAAGTTCTAAAA